CAAATCCTCCACCTCCGATTTCAAAAGCTTCCTCCCAGGTGCCACTTATGTCTCACCAGGTGATCCAACAACCACCCAGCAGGTGAATAAAGAACTGAAGGATAATTGTGTGCTCTGAAGCTGGCCACATGAATGATCAGAAGCCTCCACAATGTGGACGACCTCTGCATTTATTTATATTTTAGCTTATTTTGACTTCCGTTGTTGCAGCTCCAAGCAGCTTTTATCCCCGTAGTCGTCTGTCTATGTGCCTGTTTTACCTCTTTGCCTTTGTGGATAGATAAAGTTCAAACCCAGCAAACATCAGTGATTTTTGAGTTTCAGTTTGGCTCATGCCCGCTCGCCCGGCTGATGTCGTCCATCCTTCTTGCAGTCTGCGGTCAACTGTCAGCCTCTAATTAGCATGTAAAAATGCTCGCATTAGTAAAACCTTGTCAGGTTTTCATTTTCACAAGCTCCACTTTCAACGGTCAGCAGAAAAAACGGCGGCTTCTGTCGGAACACGGTGCAACCTCATCCCACAAAACACAGCGACGGCCAGTCGGACTCATCCCGTCCCACGTTCTGCTAGATTACTTTAAAACATGAACTCCGTGTTTCTGTTTACCTCAGATGACAAAAGGTCAAATAACTGCTTCTTATTATCCCCTCTGTAGTTTCATGAGAAGCTTTCAGATTCACTGCTTCGTTTATCTCGTCTCGTTAACACCTGGAGCAGCACACAGACCAACAGCCCTCTGAGCTGCTCTCAGCCTCCAGTTCATCAGGAGTTGTTCTCCACTGGACTTTTCTGTCTTCTATATGTCCTTCTGTCTCTTTCCAATTTTCATTTTCCTCTAGTGTACTTCATAGCTTCTGCTTTCAAATGTGCAATATAATATTGCTAGCTTGCTTGCTAAAAGCAGGATGCTAACAGATTACATGTTCACAAAGCAGCTGCATGTGCATCTTGTCGCGCTAATGGCTGGATGCTACTTTTAGCATATTACGCTGAATAATAATAGCACCTGATGGAATTTTTTTACTATACGTTTATTTACATCTATTTGTAAAGTTTTATTTTGCTAAAAGTTTATCTTTGAGTTTCAGAGATAGTCTGTTAGTTTGCATGAATTATTCTGTAAATTCTCAGCCTGTAAAAATTAGGCATTTATTGACATTTATCATTGAATTTCTTACATTTGTAGTCTGTTAAATTCGCGACACCAACGTACACTACATCAACATTTAAAAATCTATAACTGTTAATGAAAAATATATAAATTATTTTTATTTAAACTAGCAACAGCTAGAAAAATGTTGGTGTTTTTGTCTTGATGGGGATATTATTTGTTCCAGTTAATGTGGAATTGTATGATTTTTACTATGAAATGTAATTTAACAAAACAGGGACAAAATCTGCAAGATGACAGTAAATTGTTCAAAGAATTATTTTTCAGTTCAGGCCCAAAGTGAAAATGTCTCTGTAGATTGAATTGTAATTTAAACTTTGGGCAGACAAAGTGTTGGACAGACGTTCAGAGCCACGCCACGAGTGTCGCCTGAAAGTCCTTAAAAAGCCTTTACTGGCAGTCGGTTCATGTCTCAGAAATTATAAAAGCCATAAACTTGTTTCTGTCACAGACATCAGAAAAGCATGTCGGCTTTTATTATCGTCATAAACCGTCCAGTTAATATGTTTTCAGTAAACATACAGTATGTGGCCGCGCAAACAAATGACACACGATCCTCCGAGTGTGAAAGGCATTAAGGAGTTGCTCAGTCTTTCCTACCGTTCCCCTCTCACGCACGCAAAGCGAGACTTTATTAATTAAAATGTGATTTTTACGAGGTGATTGTCCGGGCCTGCAGCAGCTGTTTGGGTATTCACAGCTCGGTGTTTACGAGGCTGGTGCCGTGATTTCCCCAGAGGCCTCTTGTGTGTGTGTTTGTGCGTTCGGTGTCGCCAGCGTGAGGTTAGTTTGTAAACTGCCAGCGTTTCCGTGCGACTCTTTAAAGTGTGTGTCGGCGGGGAAACGTTGGAGCATCTTCACATCCTGCTCGTTAATCCTCCCCGACGCTGACAAGAAGCTCGTCGTGTCGCACACAGTAAATAAAACGCACAAAGCTGCACACCCAGGACGTGGAACACACACGTGCACGGTGTAACTCCCGCCTCGGACGCCGTGATAGATTAACGTCTGCAGGTAGTAAATATGGGAGCCCCCCGTGGACGCTCATCACCTCGACACACAGTTTCTACATCTGGAGAGCAAAGAGCAGCAGACACGGAGTCCGTGTGCAGCTTCATCATAGCCGACATTCTTCTTTTAATCTGTAAAATATCGCACGTTTCCCAAAGCTCTGCGTTGACGTCTTCAAACTGCCTCGGACCAGCTCGTCCAGGAAGAGAGGCGTGGGAGATGAAAGACGAGGGGAAATCGATTACAGCCAGATTCTAATCAATTTTCTAACGTTGTTCAGCAAATATCCTGTTGCTGAGGGCCCACTTGTGACTGCTGTTCCTCTTTTCTGATGCACTTTTTCCTGTTTTTGGCACACATCGCGGTTTCTGAGTTTCCCCTTGTCACAGAAGGGGGAAAAAATGCATTGTGTGCAGCCATTGACCCTGAGAGTCAGCAGCAGCAGCCACTGCTTCAGGGTCTCTACAGTGGACGCGTTATGGACGACTCTGGAGTTTTGCATTTATCCAGTATGTGCTCATGTGTGTTTTCCACCTAATTGAAGAGAACATCAGGTCCCTGCTGGAGTGGAGTTAACATATTAATACGCAAATGTACACAGTTAATGGGAAAACAAGACAAATGTATTCTTTATGTAAAATGTTTAAACGAAGCTGATTACCTGCCACCAATGTTCATTTGGGGCTGATTTCATTTTAAAGCATGTATTGGCTGATGTTGATGACGTCCTGATGACATTGTGCAACCCTTGTGCGTATGAAAATAGTTTAAGGAAGTCCTAAAAGTCATCACATTATCCAAACGCACAACGCAACCACAATGAGCTACAACCTTACGACAGATTCGCTGTTGTGTTTGAGTGGAAATTACGCTATTGGGTCATGTTTGGACTAAAAACAGTTTAAGATACAAGAGTTTGCAAGAGCGATGGGAAGTTTGGCGTGAATAAGACAGAGTTGGCTCAACAAGTACATGTGCGGAAAGGTGTAAGGCCGCAGCTCAGAGAATTTGAAGAAATAGAAACCAACATTTGATTTTTAAAAATGTGCGTTTACGTATTTGTAGTCAGGCGGCACAAACAAATACGATTAAAGACTGGAGTAAGGATGATGAGTGTCGACGACTTTCTGTTTAGACTCATTAGACACCTGATGTCATCGGGTATTTTTAAAATGAAATACATTTTATTTGCAGTTTTTGATTTACCGGTGGTCTGAAACAAAACGAGGCGTGACCAAAAACTTACGAGTCTTCAACTGTTTGGTCGTACCTCATGTCTAAACCTCCAGACGCAGCTTCATGCTTGTTTGTTTAGCAAGAAAATCCAAGGTCCTTGTTCTTGAGGGTCCTTATTCTCATAAGAAACAGTAACGACACATAACTCGAGCCGATTTCTGGGTAGACATGTGCAGAAAATACATGAAACACACTGCGGTGGATGAACAGAGTTCACGGATATTCAACTGCACAGAGAGCGTTTAATAATCTGGATGGACGGAGAATAAACGAGTGTCTGTGATCGTCACTGCTGATCTTTGGGAGTGCGTGATGTGAGCCTGAAGGCACAGCTCTGGGTATAGAGAGCGGTCTGTTTAGGAGCCGAGTTTGAGCTGAAACATTTCTGTCAAACGGATCCGATCAGGCGTCTTTGGGTTCCACAGTCATGCGTGTGGCAGAAACAAGTCGGTTTACGAAGCTTCGAACTGGAAGCAGCAGGAGAGTGAAGATGAAGAAGCCTGTCTCTGAGTCCACACTTTGTTTAATCTGCAATAAAATAGTATTAGACAAAAAAAAACATTTCATCTGTTTGGTAAACGTGATAGCTGGGATAGGCTCCAGCCCCCCGCGACCCTGGTGAGGATTCAGTATAGATGATGGATGGATGGATGGAACTAAACATGATGAGCGGTCCGTTAAATGTGAGGGTGTGATTGGTAAACAAAAGCTTATCAAGCAAGGACGGGTTTAACTGAAAAGTGTAAAGCAGGGGTCTCGAACTCCGGTCCTCGAGGGCCGCAATCCTGCAAGTTTTAGATGTTTCCTTCTTCCAACACACCTGATTCACTTGATCAGGATCGTTATCAGGCTTCTGCAGAGCTTGATGATGAGTTGATCATTTGAATCAGGTGTGTTGGAAGAAGGAAACATCTAAAACTTGCAGGATTGCGGCCCTCAAGGACTGGAGTTTGAGACCCCTGGTGTAAAGTCATGTGTGGGGTGTTTTGTCCACCGGCGGCCTGGTTACAGCGCCCTGCTCACACAGGTAGAATTTAATACGTGTGGAGGGCAGCTTTAAACCAACAGAGCCATCGGAGGAAAAAACACACATGCCGGTATTGGAAAACGTTTGTTCCCGCTCGGTCTTCGATAAAACTTGTTGTCACTGCAGGCAGAAGCCGGCAGGACTCCACTGACAGCTCCACAATGGCCGACAAACAGGACATCCTCCCTCGCTGCGTCAGGGCAATTACTCATCCCCCGAGCGTCCGTGTTGGTGTTTCTCAGTCTGGCCTTTTAACACGGCCAAAGACAAACAAGTCAACCTGCGGCTCCGCTTTGCAGCGCAGCTACAACCAATCTGTGTCTTCATGCAAACGGACCCGGCGCTGTAATTTCCTTATCCATCGGCCGCTTTGCATGCTCGTGTTTCCGCGCACCTCAGCCAGATGTTGTTTTGCATCTTGGTGTGTGTTTGTGTTTCTCCTCCATACTGCTCACTCCCTTAACGTGACCCTCTTTCTTCTCTGTCCTCCCAATTTATGTGTTTGTCGTTCCCCCCCTCCTCACCCCTCTCGTGTCTCTCTCTCTTGTTTACAGGGAATTTAAAGAATGTGGTTTAGGAGTGGGCAGCCTCAGCCTCCTCCGCACACACTCGCACACACACCCACACACCACGTTTCCAAACCAGGTCGACGCTCGGCGGCTTTAATGAAGACAATATGGAGCGGACCCCTTCGGCCCCGAGGCACGGAGCGAACCAGGGAGGGGGAAGAGAGGAGGTTTTGGAAAACATTAGCTGAGTGTTTCCAGGGGAAAACAGTTTAATAAGGGGACGGGAGGGGAGGGGAGGGAGGGCGATGTGGTTGCTGTACAATGTTCACTGTTTTTAATTCTTTGTTTTTCGGAGAAGGTATGCGTGTGTTTGCGAAAGTTTATGGTATGTACAGTGTGGCTACGTAAAGCTGGATTACAGCCGAGTGTTTGGTTTCGAGGGATGCATCGAGCTGAACGGAAAAACAGATTGTTGAGGAGTCGGGTTTCACGGTGACCGCGGCCCCGCTGCGATGAGCGCTAAAACAGACAGACGGCCGCGCTCCCCAGACCTCGGTTCGTGAACAGGTCCGGAAAGTCCTGGAAAGCTGGTCCAGAGAAACTTGGAAAGTTCACAAACAGACAGTCTGGAAAAGTTTGGAAAATAGCCGGTTACACATTTTAGCCACATTTCAGTTTCGCGCCGTGGGCAGAATTAGACATCTGGACGGCGTTTGGAGTTGTAAATGAAAAATATCCAGGGAAAGTTGAAAAGACTTCTCTTTGGACAGACAGTAACAAAGATTACATGATCTCTGAGGCGGATTGAGAAAGAAGCAGCGGCTCTAAGCTGGTTTGGCACAACTGGAGAAGGAGAAGCTGGTTTCCCCAGAGGGACTGGACATGGACGTAGTTTGAGGTCACTAGCGTTGTTCCGACTGCCAGTCCAGATCCAGTTTTGGTCAGATCCAGATTAGGTGGTTTTCCACTGCAGAAACTCGCAGGCCTGAGTCTTTGTGCATGTTCCGACCACATGATTCTTCCCTGCAGAACTAGTTTTAGGGCTTTTGGGGGAGAAAGAGCGGCCCTAAAATGCTGCTGTGCTGGTGTGAAGTTGGAGAAGATCACACTGATTGGTTCAACTTGAAAACTTTTCTTCTGCAGCCTTCTCCAACATTAACAGTGAAAAAGAACAAACCTCCATTGTTCTGCTCTCCCAACGTGCTCCTAGAACTGGAGCTGCATCCAGTAACTACCCTCTGTTGTTGTTTTGATGCACTCAGTTCTGGTCCAAGCTGCTGGATTCTGCGCTGCGATGGAAGCAGAAGGCTTAAGAGGCTGTTTCTGTAAATGCCACCCCGAGTTCCTGCAGTGGAAACCCAGCAGCCGAGGTAGAAACATCCAGATTGATTTTATAAAGTCTGGTCAGCAAAAGCAAAAGGCATGAAATCAGATTTTTACAAATTACATTTTAAACCACATTCTGAGGTGGTCCTGAACATCGACGCACGGTGACGTCAAAGAACAGCAGTCAGCGGACAGACGATGAAATAAACTGTCCTCTGGAGCTTTGGGGGCAAAGCTGGAAGGAAACTGCAGCACCACCAGCAGATGCCTACTGACAGCGACACATGCAGACGGGACGGTGATCCTGCAAACCTGAGTCTGTCCTGAAAGTCTTGTACGAGAACCTCAGTGTTGCCGATAGCTGTATGTGCATTTTAAAGCATCGCATTGGTGAAAGTTAACAAAAACAATAAAAAATACGTTTTTAAGCTTTTTCAAATCAGAGTTAATGTTCTTCATGGGAGATAGGAACACCTTTTTCTAGTAATTTATGATGTAATTAACTCACATTTTCATTTTTGCTTTGCTCTTGACAGCATGAAACTTGGTCTAATTACAACTTTCCCCATTAAAAACTATTCCTTTTCTCCATTTTTCCCCCATAGATTGCTAATTTCCTTTGTATTTTTGTCTCTCTTTTTTTTTTTTGGCGGTTGGTTTTGTTTCCAGCGTCTCTGTTTATTGGATCCATGTGTAACGTTCGCCTGCTCGGCCGCCTTCCTCCGACACCGCGCAGCCTCGTTTGTTTGGTCCAAGTCAGTTAATGGAAACAAGCCTCATTCACATTCTGTCTTTTTTTGTTGTTGTTGTTTTGTTATTACTGCTGCATTTTAAAGGTTTGCATTAATTTCTAATATGAAAATAAGTCATTGGTCACATCTTTGCAGCATCGTTCACTGTTAATCACTAAAATCTGTCATGTAGCGGAAAGTTTGTCCCGAATGTCGGCTCAGACTTGTTATTTTCTTGTTGTTTGATCAGATCTTGACTTTACTGTTATGTTTATATATCTAAGCATTGTTTTTTTAATTGGTGTTATTCTTTTTTTTTAATATTTACCATGTTAAGAAGTTGGTTTGTTTGGTTTTGTGTTGGCAGTCATAGCAAACATCTCTTGTCCACACGGCATCCCTCTGCACATTGGCTGAAACTTTTCCATTTTAACCACCCTGATCGCAGTATTAACAGTTCTTCTGTTAAATAAAATAGATGTGCAGAAGCAGCCATTTAATGATCACAAATAACCAGCGAAGACATGTATAGAGAGTTGAAGTTGCATTCTTTGAGGACTTCAAATGCCTCAACAGCTCTAAAAATAGAAGCTTTTGATTACTATTTCCACGTACGGAAACGTCTGGTTTAATCAGCTGTACTGTCAGTGATGTGGCAGCGCTTTAACAGCTGCACATCTAACCGAACGGAGACCAGAATCCTCACATCCTCCACATGAAGCCGACTTTGGAAAAACAAGTGACGGCTCAGTTGTTAAGACATTATCCCATTTCAGGCTGGTTAAATTTGGCATTTTCGTCTTGAGTCCAGGTGAAAGGGTTCAGAAATTACTGTAAAAAGCTTATTTGTGACCACAGAAATAGTCTTTTTTTACAAATAAATCCCACCCTGATTAGCTTTTATAGGCGCTCTTGTTGGTTTTCTCTCGCAGGATGTAATCAAAAGCTCCTGAAAAGCTGATTAAGTGGATCTCGAGTTAAGACTTTGTGTCAAACTACTATAATGATGGTAACTTTCAGCCCTTAAAATCAATTATTAGGCGCTTTTTAAACTTTATGTGTCAGTTGTTCTTTGCTTTTCTGCTCTAGTTTGCATTTGTTATTATTTTTCAAGCAGTAAAACTAAAGGAAATATCTGCCTTACATGCCGACGTCATTAACGAGCTGTCGAGTGAGAAACCGACAGTTTTAAAGGCAGCTTCCACCGCCACGTTTAATTCTCACCAAACCGCAGCCATCTGACCGAGATCCTCGCTGCGAGTCGAGTCACACAGAGCTTTTTGGAGAGAGTTCATTTATCAAGATGTTGGGAAACTGAACTTCTACTGTGTTCATGCATTTTTGTAAGCGTTCCGATGTACATAACGTTTGTTGAAATAAAAAGACAGGAAAGCACGTTGTTGTCATGTGTCTCTGCGCCGCTTTAGGCCGTGATTTACGCAGCGTGGCCCGCTTAATAGAGGCTTTAATGGAGAGCGTTTGAAAGAGGAACCACAAATGTCTGGCAGTTTCCTTTAGAAGTGATGTTCCCCAAATTAATGGCCTGGAAATTCACACCAAATGTAGGAGTCACCAGTCGGAGCCGGCATGTGCTGAACAGAAGTGAGCTGTGAGAGGATTCCCTGTGATCTTTATGAACAGGGCTGTGGTCGCCGCGGCGGTTTGAGCCCCACGTAGCCGAAGCAAATGAAACTCATTACACCGTTTACGAGCTCGGAAAAGGAGAGACGATTGAAATTCTATCTCATAAAGCGGGAGGAGGCGGGGGGGAGAGGCGCTGTAAACATGGGAGACATGAGAGGCTGCCGTGTGTTTATGCAGTTTTCTGTGTCGAATTAGAAAAACTCGGAGGCCCCCCGAGAGGATTCAGGGCACCGCTGGAATTCCTGGATTGCATTTTTTTTTTTTTTTTACAAATAGTTTGGTTCTTATTTTAGAAGCAAACGAGGACGTTATAGTTGGAAAAGTGGCCAAGAAACACTGAAGATACAAAACACCAAACGTCTTTTGAAGAATCTCTTGGACTCGTGCTCGTCTCCCAAAACTTTCCCAAGATTTACGCCCAGTTCTTCCACTGACGTCCCATTCCAGTTTCCAGTCTGGAATTTCAACTGGAATCTCAGGAAGAACCTCAGAACCAAAGATGGCTGCTCAGCACATCAGCAGCTGCAGTGATGTTCAGTTTATTAGCTCATATGTCTCATTAAATCAGTCATACACGCTGTACTGTTCAACTTGGTGTTTTCCTGGAAGCATATATCTTTGTTTTCCAAACTCCTGATCTCCATCCTAGGGTCTAAGCATCAAACACGTACTAATTTAACTCACATTGCTGCTCGAAATGGTATGAAATGAAGGAACAGGACAAAAAAGCGTTCATTTGGATCCCTTATTAACTGGTCGCCACCTGTTTGTGACATTACAGCGTTTATGTGTTAGAGAATGACCAAAGAAAATAAAATAAACCGATAAACATCTGTAAGTTTAACTTAAAATCCAAACCTACAGATTCCTTCTCGCAGGTTTCTTCTCTGCTTGGTCCGTGGACAGTTTGCGGGCTGCAGAACGACCAAGTTCGTCACCGAAAGCCATTTAATTGACATTTAACAGCTGAGTCTGACTGTCTGACTGATTGAAATTACAATCACAGATGCCGACGATGTCATTTTGACTAATTACACCAAATTCCTATTCCAGATTTTTATACCTGCGGTGAAGTCTGTAATTCAGTTTTCTGTTAGTCAGAATAATTTCTGCAGATATCTCAAACGTCTCAGACCTGGAGTTAGAACTGACCAGAACTTTGACCTCAGGCTGCTCTGACATGGAGGTAAAACAGGATTTCTCCATCTTGCCTGTTGGGTAACTGCAGATATTTACCCCATCCTTTCATCCAGTCAAAGCCCTCTTCATATTATATGTAATTACATTTTGATGAGTCATAGTTTCAGTTCTTGCTGTGTCGTTCAAGCACAAGATGTCTAAAAAGTGACAGTGTAGATCTGCTGAACTGGGAGGAACTGAAGACTTCTTGAACTAGAGTTATGACTAGTCAGAATTAAACTATTTATCATTCAGTTGCACATTTAGGCATCTTCTCTGCAGCTGACTTGCACGCACATGGATGGTAAAAGTGACTTCATTTGACCTGTCTGCAAGTGCACATCCAGTCTATTTAGCAGCACTTAGATCTATGACTGTGGTGACTGGGATTGGTCCACGGCTGAAGATAAACGCAACACCGGCCAGTAAATACAGAAATATAAGCAGATCACTGCATTAAAGACATTAAAGTTAATCATCAGATGACAAATCAAGGCTTTCTTGGCAACACCCAGCCTGAGTCAGTGTACAGCGAGCGTTACATAACTTGTGTGCACTCGCAGCCAAGTCAGAGCATGGAATTCAAATTACAGAGGCACAAGTCTATGCAGCTCGTCTGTCATTTTTAAAATCCCATATAAAGCAGCAGCAGTGTGATGCAACGTATTCTGTAAGGGAAAATATCATCCTCCACATTCTGATGAAGACGGACGTCTCGCTGCCATCTGTAATCTGCTTTCTGGCTGGAGCTCTTCCTCCTCTGGACGCATGCAGATTTATTTTTTCCGATATGCGAGTGGAAGGAATAACTGGGTTTAGCTTGGCTCAGCCGGACGCCGATGAACTCTCCAGGAGCTTCGGCGAAGAGAGGGCTTTATTCTCTTTGTGTAAACTGTGCGTGGCATTGTTGTCTACATCGCATACAGGATTCCTTCATGTTCTGGCTCGTATTGAACACACCTTCGCTGCTCAATGGGAAAGAAAAAAAAAACTTTCCCCAACGACTTTTATGCAAATGAGCACCGGGCCCCTCCAAAACTGAGCCAGCGCTCTGAATAGGGAATCATTTGACCCCGGCTGTTGGTTAGTTTAGATAAACCCGACACTCGTCCTTCCTCACCTTCTGCTCTCTGCGGCTGCTCTAAAGGTGCCAGTTGCAGGAAGATTTGCATAAGTCTTGCAAATCCTTTTCAAAAATTTTGGGAACTTTCCAAAACGATGCCGATCGCATCTGCTTTGGAAGTAAAGCTATGCTATCTCCCAAAGTCCGCACAGTTTTCCAGAAACCGTCCGCCCGGCTTGGAACAGAAATCCAGTCTGGCGGTTTGACCAACATGCCATAATTATTTGTCTGCTAAGATGGAAATCACAAACGGTTTGTTTGATTTGCATAACGTCTCCCCCAGGGGGAACAAAGCGGCGGGGGCCTCCGTCTATACGTCCTCCTCCTCATCAACATGTGAAGTGTCTGCGGTCAATGGCGGAGGGGATTTACTCGCACAATAAAGACAGATGCCACCTTTTATCTGCTTAACGGAAGAGAGGCTGAGCGCGTGGCACTTGACCGCACCGACGCATGTTGTTGGCGCGTAATGACGTCCTCCCTGCACACACTATTGAGATGAATGGTGATGAATGGTGAATGTTGGAAAAGGCCTTGTTCTTTTCTAGCAGGAGGTGGGGGAGGGAGAGAGAGAGCTTTTTTTTTTTTATTATTTGGAGGGTTCCCCAACGACACTTTCACAGATTTTTTCTTTTCCCAAACAGCCTTTTGTTTGCCCCTCGTGAATAAGATACGCAGAAGAGAATCAGGTTTTATTCAGCAGATGTGGAGTTTGAGCTGCTGGTGACAAACTTTAAGCTGATTTTTGCCTCCAAACTTGTGCAATACAAACATTAAAGACAAATAGAACAGTTTACCACCATAAAACGATGCAACAAAGGCACAAATCCATGCATTAAAATTCACTAGAATGCAGGAAATGAAGTGTTGGATGCTCAAAATTTCCTGGAGGAAGACGCCCAAACCGTCAACTTTAACACAATACAATCCACATACATGCCTGTTGTGCTGCTGGAATATTGTGTTCTGGTGTGAAAGATGAACACAAACCACATTCACTCGATTGTTCGCTGAGAGGAAGTTGAACACAATGAAGATGCAAGCTGGAAAAAGTGATTTGCCTTTTATTGTCTCCCTGTATGATCTTGTGCGTGGCCCGCCTGCACACACGGCCGGCTGCAACTGCTTTAACTGTGTTCTGTGTAGATTTTTTTTATTACATAATAAAAAGCAAACATAATTACGTGACCTAAAGTTCCCCCTGTAAAAGCGCAGTAAACCGACAAACACACAACATTTCAGGAGCTGAAATTCTGCCTCTGGTTCAGGGTTCGTGTGAATTTATTCAGTTGCTGCTTTGTGTTTTAAAGATAACCATTACAAGCCTTTCTTATGCTCCAACCTGCATGATAAATCATTCAGCACATATTCATCACTTTCCCTTAATGACACCAAGACATCTCCAGTGAGAACATGTAGTTATGCAAATCAGCCCTCAGACCACCAAGGTCTCCCTCTCTGGGTGAGTGACACAGACAAAGACTGAGGCTCTGAAATGGTCCATTTGATTCCTGATGGTGTTTGCCTCAGAATGAGCAACATCTGCCCTGCGGAGCGGCAGCTTCCAAACTCTGGAGGACGGAGTGGCCCTGCTGTGGATCCGGACAGACCTTCTTTACCACGACAGTTGGACATTTTTGACCTCGTCGCCAACGATCGGTGGCAGGAACGTCACCTAATCGGCCCTTTTAGCTTCTCTGTTTCCTTTGCGACAGCTTGAGTTTGAGAAAACAACAACAAATTGTAGTTATGTTCTTCAGCAGGAAGTTTCACATCGTTTTAAGGAGCCCCGTAGCTTTGTGCATGTTTTCACCACAAGAATCGTCCTTTTAGATGCTGTTTGGGAAGCAAAATGTTCCCCCTGCAGGCCACCAAGTTCCTGAAATGGAAAGCTGCCTAAATATTGATGACGATTCTGCTCAACAAGGACATCAAGAGGATAAAAAACGCTGCTCTCTAAGTTCAACTAATTTGCACTGAGCTCTGCATGACAGTTTCTTCAGTACATGACCCAACATTACTCCAATGTCTCTCATTTTCAAATGTGATAAAGAAGCTTTTCTTTGTTTTTTTGCCCCATTATGGTCATTTTGTGTCTCGTTTTCTTCATTTTGTGTCTCTTTGTGGTCATGTTGCATCTCTTTATGGTTGTTTCTTTGTCTTGTGTCACATCGTGGTCATTTTCTGTCACATTTCTTTGTTTTTGTGGTCTGTTTCTGCACCATCTGTCTCCTCAGAAATCTGCATATGCAAGCTGATCTCATCACACGTCCACGTCTGTGCATGACGGATGAGCTTTAGAGGCAGTGTCAAGTTTCTCTCTCTTCGTCCGTGCATCCAAAACCAAAGCAGCGGTAACATGAAGCGCGATAAAGTCAGCTGTAGGTACAGTTGAAACTGGTAAACTGGACCGTGTTCATTATCGTGAAGCTCGTCTCAGTTCGTCGACTGTTTGTTGATGACTTCACCGCTGCTCTAATTTTACATGCAAAACTTGTGACCATTGTTGTAAGTTATTGCTCCCATATGTCCACACAGGTGTTTTCAGTCAGTATGTATCCGATTTCTGCGCACTGACAAGCATGGACGGATTATGAAACAATGGGCCCCTGGGCGAAAGGCCCCTCACTCATCCCACAGAGGAGCAACACGCCCACACTGAAACGGATTTGTGTCGTCTTTGTCTCCTAATGTGCATCTTGCAGATGTTTTGCATCATATCGAGTCTCCTTCTGCGGTCATTTTGCTTGTTTTAGTCATTTTGAGGTCACCTCTTTATGCTTGTTTTCTCTGTCTGTGGAGCCACTCTGTGCCTCTTTCATGTCACGTTTGGATTATTCTGTCTTATTTTAGTTTTTTTGCATCTGTTTTGTGTCAGAGTTTGTACATTTTCACCTCTCCTTGTGGTCATTTTACATCACATGTGGCATTTTGTTTCTTTATGGTCACTGTACATCTCGTTATGGTCACTTTTGTTGTCATGTTTTGGTAATTTTATACCTCTTTGTAGCCATTCTGGGGTTTAAGTTCTTTTTGTGCCACATGTGGTTTGTTGTGTGTCTTTGTTTACTCTGTGTGGTCACTTTTTGTCCCATTTTGATTGTTTAGTGTCACACCTTGGTCACTTTCTATGCCTTTGTTGCTGTTCTCTGTCTCTTTGAGGTCTTCTTGCATCACATTTTGTTTATTTAGTGTCTCATTTTGGTTGTTTTTCATCTCTATTGTGTTGAATTTTGTCTGTTTTTCTTTTTTTTGCTGCCATTTTGTGTCTTTGAGGTCATTTTATGTCTCTTTGTAATTGTTTTGTTCCTTTGCATGTCTTTGTTGGATTTTTTTTGGGTTGTTTGGAGTCATGTTTAAGTTATTTTGTCACATTTAGGTTGCTTTGCTCTTGTTTTGTGTCACATTTTGGTCATTTTGCATCTTGTTTTGGCTCTCTTGTGACTCTTTTTGAGATCTACATTACATTTCTAGAATAAACTGACACATCCTGGCTACTAAACCCTAAACACTGAAGTCGTTTTGGTGAGTCCAGTGTGGTTTTAGTACCAATTAATATGTTTGTTGGTTGTTTTTTTTAAACACTAGATATATTCAGTCAGGAAATAAACCTAATTTATGCACTTTAAACTGTCAGACACAGAGTTAAGGCTGATAATTACTTACTTTCAAACACTTTAAAGCAGCTTATCAACCACCTACATGCGATTATCAGTGATTATTGTGAATATAAGATGCTGCAGATGCTGATATATCACTACAAGCTTGTTCTCTTCCTCACCAGAGTCTGATTTAGACCATCCATCCATGTCTCCCAGGTTGTAATCAACATGTTTGAGCTGTGCTTTCAGCAGCTCCATCCAGATCCAGATCCAGATCCAGTGATCCGCTCCCTGGTTTGTGGAGGCCTCAGCCCTCTCTGGCACCGGGCTGGTCAGTGAGGAGGCTCAGACACACGCACAGAATGCTTTTTATTCTGCTCCCAGCTCATTGAGGAGCTGACAGACCCTCCTGAGTCTCTGCACTCAGTCAGCTCGCTTTATTCCAGCAGCTTCTCTCCTCTGAGGCCGTCATCAGCTGCTCCTCTCCGGCTTTTGGTTCAACATTAGTACTTGCAGAACGCTCCGGACTGTTCGGATCCACTTTGCCTCCGGGTCGGGCTGCACCGGGCTCCTCTCAGGTGAGTGTGTGGAGCAGCTGTCAGTGTGTTTGTGCTGTGAGTCCAGAGAAAGTTTCAGACGTGTCTCTGCTGCTGCTGCACACTTTACATAAGAAGTGAAGGAGGTCAGACTGCAGCTCAGTCTGCTGCCAGCTTCACGTCTTCATCTCCTCAGCTCAGCTCCTTATTCCCAAATGAGTGACTGCAAGAGACACTCTCTGGGAACTTTGTGCTTTTTCTATTTATTCAAAGTGTGTGTGTTGCCCGAAATCAATCAAAACACAACACAAGATTGTTAATTGGAGTCTTTAAAGTAAGTACCGTCTTTGTTTTTCCTTTAACAGACTTCAACTTTGGGGAAATCAACATTTTTTTCTCCTTTAAATTGGCCTTCTCATTAACATCTTTAACATGGAGCCAATTAAAACAAGTGGTGGATGTGTCACACTGGGCAGCATATGGTGTGTGTGTGTGTGTGTGTGTGTGTGTGTGTGTGTGTGTCTGACGTTTCAATTTGCTCGTCAGGCTTTAATTGTGTAATTGAAACCCCTGTTGTTGGTGGTTTGTGTGTCCGTCTGTGTGCGGCTGCTCTTACTCTCAGGCTGCCTGCTGACAAATCACAACACTCTAATCATATTAATTCCTGTGATTTTTCTGCAGTGTTTGTCTCATTTTCACTGTTTTTGAAGCGTTTGGTAGCTGTTGTGGAGCCTCCTCATGTCTGAGGTGATGAACATCATGTGTTTGGATAAAAAGCTCCGCAACAGTGAGATTGTTCCCTCAGCTGCTGTTTTCAGATTGAAGAAAATCCACTTTATTCCTACATATCCTCATGTAAAATCATTAAAAACCCAAAGCTAGACCTTTCAATGGCTGAAAACTTAAATATATTACATTTGTAATGACATTAAACAGAGAAAAGCGCTTTGAGGAGCCAAAACTGGGACTTTTTCCTTGAAAAAATGACTTAAAAGATCATCAACTATGCGAACTGTTCATTATATTCCAGTGAAACACCAGTAAAGGGAAGTAGATGTGTGCCAAGCTGCTAGAAAGTAAGTTAATGCACTTTATGGCACCATTCACTGCAGTGATTCTGCAGTATTTAGTGCTGAAAGATTATTAGTGAATCCGTCTGATTTACTGTGTGAGTCATTTTTCAGGCTAAAAGCGTGAAGCATTCAGTCTTTCTCTGATTCATTCTAAATTAAGTGAACAAAAGAGGCATTTTGAAGACGTATATTGGACTCTGATGGATTCTAATCCTCTAATTTCCCCCGTTTGTTGGCATTTTTCGTTTTAGGGCTGCGTTGTCCTTGTTTTCTGTGAGAGCTACCAAACTGGCAGCCGAAACAGACTTTCATTTCCAATAATTAAAACAAATGTAGAGCGGTCGGCAGCCAAGACAGCAGCCTAGACTGCTAATGAAATAATTTACAGGGGAAACGAAGCCAGGGCCGATTTCACAATCTCATAAAAAGTGTTGGAGGAACACAATGAGTCAGGTCAGCTGTGAACAGGAAAAAACACTGGCGCTGGTCCAGGAGTCTCTCACAGCATCCTTCCTAAAGACCGCTGAGCTGCTCCGTCCTCGTTTCACACAAAAACACACGTTATTATGTTATAAAAGCTTTATATAAGTTGTTGTGTAAAGGAGGAAATTCGCTGCTGGAACGTTTGATTCTTCTGGAGACAAACAAACACTGTTTGATCATTTTGATTCACTGGAAAGATGAAAGTTGAGGATGTGTGAACTTTAAATCTCCAAAGTGACATCTGAAAGCATTGCATCTGTTTTGCATGTTGCTGCTCCAGTAGACACATTAAATACCAATAATACCTGACTGGTGACCGTAAACCAACAGGTCTGTCAAGATTTAAACCCATGAAGGAAACAGTTTGGATCTAAATATGCTTCTTAATGTTGCACTATCACCTTTTCATAGCTCTGAAGAGCCACCAGGAGTCATGCTTTTAGGGATTTATATGTGTAACATATGTTTTTGTCTTTGCTTTACTAAATTTAATGATGTTTTTACTAGAAAAAAAAAAAAAGATGGCAAAGTTTTAAATTGTCTAAATAATGTAGTGAAGAGTGGACAACATCATCACCTAAATAAGCAACAAACAACCAATTAGTGGAAAATTATGGTCACAATTTTAACAATCTATTCATTAATTTGAGTAATTATTTAAGAAGAAGCAGTGATATTCCAGCCTTGCATGTTCTCCCCTTCATGTGTGTTGTGGGTCATGCTAACTTCACACTTGGAAAAATGAGAAGTTTGGGGAAGCGTATATTTAAATGTGGCAGCTTTCATCCTTCTGGAGGAAGAAAACTTTTCATACCTACGTTTTAACAGCCTCTGACGTCTGTAAGTCGACCAACCTTTCAAGCTCGTGCGTGGTGATAACAGCTTTTAACACTTGAAAGAGAGATTTTTGGTGGCGCATTCCTTGAAGTCCTCCTCCACACGTTCATTTGGCCACACTGGCTGCAGCTCATTTAGCCCGACTTTGTGATTAAGGCTGTTTTTATTTATTTATTTTTTTTGGTGCAAGCTTTTTAAAAGCTGCACTGGTGAGGTGTTTTGTGTGTTTTGCATCTCCTGGACTCATGTGGTGGAAAGCTGTTGAGCAGAGACACCATGTGCAGCCTGGCCCTGACAGTAATCAGTCAATGAATAATGAACACACACACACACACACAAACCTGCCATTGACAGCTGTTTGGTATCTTTGTGTGTGTGTTAACTCTATCGGCCGAGTGCAGCTGCATGCCTGCCTGTAGCAATTATGTTCTCGCTAAATAAGAGCCAGCGCCGGGAGGAGGAGGGGCTGTGTGTGTGTGTGTTTGTGTGTGTTTGTGTGTGTGTGTGTGGATCAGCACATATTATTAAGCGATTAACTTACTCAAAGGATAGCCGCATGATGCAGTGTGTGTGTGTGCATGTTACGGCACACATGCTGTTTGAACTGTGTGTAATATAAACCAGCTCGGGGACTTTAACATGAGCCTCTCCGAGTCTTTCTGCACACACACACACACACACACACACACATCTCAGTGACATTTTCTTGCTTCACACACACACAGTCAGACATATGGTCTGTTCTCAGGGCCCATATGTATTTATCCTCCCATGTGACCCAATCGCTCTCTGAGATCCTCAAAGGCTCTGTTGTGTTGTGAGCTCCATTCACACACACACATGCATGCACGGACCTATAAACACCCAGTAACCCCGTCGGTCTCCCCGCAGCCTTTTCATGGTTAATTTGCTGCTCAATAGGTCAAGAGGAAAAGCAGACATCAAGCGAACACACAGGGAATCGGCCCGAAACGCAGCGAGTCATGCGGCCGTCCAGGCACCAGGGTCGCCTGGCTGTGCGTTTCCCAGACAGATGTGATTTACTGGGTCATAAGAACACGAGCAAAAGCCGCTGTTAAGTCAACGACGCCTTTGTTGTTTGTGGTCTGAAGCAGCCGCGTGTTTGTCAGGAAACGCAATAAAGTGACCGCTCCAGATATTTGTCATCCGCTCCTCGGGCCGCGAGTAATCGATTCGTCATTCCGAGAAGTGTGTTGTTTGGAAGTATTTTCAGATACGGAGCTTGAAATGTGCTTGTAAAACGTTCGGCCGACACAAAGGGGGCTTCTGTGCAGTTAGTCTTTTACGTCTCATGTCCTAAATCATTCCTCAAGTGATGAAAGAAATCGCTTATGTCTTTAGACTGATGCTACTTTGATGTTTGTGCTTCAAGTTGTCACAGAATTAAAAGGTGGTTTTTACACTGTGCAGCAGACAAACACAAAACATGCAACAACTATTTACATGGAGGTACTTTACATCTTTTTAGCTTCTCTCCTGCTCTCTGTGCTCACAGATGGAGTATTTTTAAACAGCCTAACTCCCAATAAAGCTGTTCTCATTTATGGATGAAACAGGGACTGAAAAGCAGCTCATAAAGAGGAAACATCAACCAGAACTCACTTCCAAGTTGCTTTAGCTTCTCTGTGCATCTACGAACTTGAATAGCGAGCTCTTTTTTTTAAAAGCTGTTCACATCATGTTGGAGTTGCCAGTTTAACTGTAGAGTTTTGCACCTAAATATGTAAACTTTTGTTTACATTTCGTACTTTACTGCAGCATACGGTGGCGTGTGCTTCAATCAAGTTTTGGACTTTAGGAGTAAAATAATCCTTTAGATTAATCGTGCAATTTTCTGCAAGATTAATCTGGAGAAACGTTGTCATTAGTTGCAGCACTTCACTGAAAATTAATGCTTTTTTGCATTTCTGTAAACGTAGTTTAGTAGCAGTGTCTCATTTAACAGATACGAGAATCATATTCAGCTTATTACGACGATGAGCGTGTTAAAGTGACAGCAGCCTGATGAAGAATCAAACAGCAGGATTATCAAGCAAATACCGAGCTTGAGTAACTCTGCTCATTATGCAATAACTAATCACTGACAGAAGCAGAGGACGTCCATGCACATGTGCAACCAGAAAACAAAACGGGCTTGAAATGATTCACACCTGTGTGTGATGTTTCCAGCTGGAGCTGCTCTTCATCAGACAAAAAGAGGCTCTTAAAAGCGACACTAAAACTCGACAGCGGCTCTGAATATAAAGAGCAACTGCAGCTTGAAATGTCACATGGAGAGGTGCTGTTAAATCCACGCAGCGTGAGCAGGTTCGGTTCTGTGTGGCAACATCTGAGCCGCACAGAAACGCTTTAAAGGTGTGTGCAGATTAGAAACGCTTGTAGATTTGGGCATTACGAGGTTTAACGTGTTTTTTTTAAAAGCAGCAGTTCTTGTTTCATGTGTACAAAAGGGATCGACTGATGTGGTTTTTCTCTATGATTCAGTTTCCTTCAAGTCAAAATCAACAATTTGGACGAATCATAATAAAGTTTGACATTCCAGCAACTGTTGTTTCTGTTCGTAAAAGCTGAATCACAATACAGAGATCTGTTCCTGCCATTTGGACTGGATGATGTTGATATCTGACAAAATAGGCCCAGTATAATTAGGACCAGTCAAAATGATGATGCTGATATCTGTTGTGTTCATTCTGGATATTCAAACTCAGCTATTAAATGTTAAAATGAACTGGATTCATATTTAGTTCAGAAAAATGAGAGTTTTGCCAATTCTCTCATCTGATTCTCAGCAAGAAAGAAAAAAATGTGAAACTATTCCTTTTAAAGGTGTTGGTTCACCATCCAAACACTGACTGTACTCTATAGGCTCCATCATTTCATTCTCCTGTTGTGTGGTGCTGTTCTGCAGCAGGTCTGAATCCTTGCAGGTGTCTCTTACACTGAGGTCTTATCGTTAAAGACATCTATCCTGGGTGATGTCAGCGGCCATCGGAGCAGGCTGACTTAACGCTCCGTCTTATCTCTTCCTCCTCATGTCCCACTCTGATGACATTGTGTAACATCCCCGTCTCTTCCTTGTTCCTCCTGCAGGCTCTGGGTTTTCCTGGTGATGACCTCACTGCTGTTCCCTGGCAACGCCCACGCTGCGATGAAGGACCTCTCCTCCTCCTCCTCTCCTCTCACCTCCCTCCTCCACTACCCTTCCTCCAAAACCTCCGTCGTGCCCTTCTCGCCGTCCGCCGGCTCTGCGTCCTCGCCCGGCTCGTCGCTGTCGTCGGCGCCGCTCTCCAAACCTCAGCCGTTCTGCCTGCAGACGGGGCCTCATCTCATCGCCAGCATGCAGCTGCAGAAGCTCAACTCGCACTACCAGAACCTGGCCGGGGCCTCGGCCGGACACCCAGCACCAGGCGGAGCTCAAAGGGGCTTTGGCGCCTCCCCGCTGGGCACCGGCAACCAGCTCCTGGGGCCGAACGGAGGCCTCGGAGGAGGCGGGATGGGCGTCGGGATCAGCATGAGCAACCAAGGCCCCGGCGCTGGTGGAATTATCGACTTTGACCCCGTGGACGAGGAGGTTCTCATGTCTCTGGTGGTTGAGCTGGGTTTGGACCGAGCCAACGAGCTGCCGGAGCTCTGGCTGGGCCAGAACGAGTTTGATTTCATGTCAGACGTGCCGGCCGGATGCTGACCTACGAAGAGCAGAAGCAGTGGAGATGACTGACAAAGAGAGAGAAGGTTTCTCTCCCTGTTTTGTTTTTCTCTTTACTCACTTTCTCGGTTGATAAAATGAGGAAACAGAAGAGACACTGAGTGACAAAGAGATCAGAGGCAAACTCCTGTTTCTGTTTTGCTTTCATACTCGCTGAGGGCTGACGGACGAAACCAAGACAGCTTGCTTTTGATTTTGTTGTTTTTCTGAAGGAGTTGGTTTTCTTTCAGTCAGTGCATTTTTCTCTTCTGCCATGAAACCAGAGGTGCTCCCACTCCCATTCATATTTCCCCTTTTATTGTAAAAGACAGACAAGCAGAAGCTTTAGCAGAGTATGAACAGAAGCGAGCAGTGGAGGACTCTGTTGCTCCTCTCCTCTTTCCTCCATCACTGTGGCTTAATGAAAACGAGCTGACTGACATGAGAGGGGCTGACGGTGACATTTGAGCCCACCTCTTGGAAACAAAACTATAAAGACAGTAGGTAAGATACACCTGTTGGACTCGGGCCCCTCTCTTCTTAGCACCAGGCTCTCTTGATCAAGTCAGCGTTTAAGGAAAATGAAAATGGGAACCACGACTTTATGGGAGATTTGTCAAAGGATGGCAAACACTACGCTTCCTGTTTTCTTAATAGACAATATTAGACTCTGGTCTCATGGGAAAGAGACTCCTGTCTCTTGGCTTCACAAAGAAACTGATTGTCTGAGAACTGGTTATCTCAATGTACTTCTCTTTCTTTTTTTTTGTTTGAATTTAGCTCAACCAGTCGTATTCATAGAACATGTTATTTAAGACAGTGGCTGATATCCATCAGGAGTCTGGACAAGGAGAGCTTCTGTGGCGTGTCTATAGCCAGCTCTGCTTTTCTGAACATAATGAATTAGATGAAGAAATGTGGAATCTTTCGGGGCTGAATGGAGTAAATTGTGTCTGGCTCTGGTCATGCAAGTCGCCACTACATGTACACGCTATGTTTTGTGACCTGCGCCGGCCGAGGCGAGGCGGTGTCAGTGATCCCGGGTTTCTTACACTGAAGGTTTTGAGCAAAGTCAGATTCACACGATGGCTGCCTTTAGTTTTTCCTGCTCTGTCACTTTGATATTTGTGTCAAACAGTTTGTTCAGACTGTGTTATCACCAGAGCCCTGATAAGGAGGTGTTGTCTGTTTTCTCATCAGACGCTGCTGTTTGCACACCTTTGACCTGTTGAGATGCTGCAGCTGTCCGCAGAGTTCAGACCAAAATGAAGTTTCCTAGAAGCTCCTGCTTAGCGGCTAAAGCACTGAACCAGCTCCTATTAGTTCCTACTGTTCGATGGCGTTACAGAGGCAGATTCGGCGCACCGTCTGGCAACCACACTGGTGCTCCTCAGCTTCAGTTCATCCTCAAATGCTGTTTTGCTCTTCTGTCTAACAATCAGAGTTTTGCTCCTGCAGCTGACCGAAACCAGCACCGACATCAGCAAGAAAGCTGGTAAAACCTTCACCAAAGAGCTTTTACAAGTGAAATATGAAGTCACATTTAAAGTCGTGACACTCGGATGAACTTCGGCGCTTAACTCTGAAGAAGTCCTCAAAGTGTTGGATTACATCATAACTGCTACTGAGCTTGCATGTCAAATCTGAGCCATGCGATACGGTTGAAAGCCGTGGGAAAGGAGCTAATAAGTCAACCTTGACATGGCGTTGTTGTGTAAAGCGAGCTTTTACATGTGAAATTACGTGTTCAATGGTTGTTTTCACGTCGAGTCGCACTCCGCAGCTCCAATTTCACGTGAAAATCGCAAGCGCCTTTTATCGCATGTGGAACAATATGAACGTGTAAGACGGGATGAGGGCTTCAGAAATAGTCTGGTGGAAATCTACTTTGTCCGTGTGATGTTTTCATGTAAGCTGGAAGACGTATCATGAAGAAAATAAGCCGTCACCACCACGGCTGAACATCTCCGTCTCTAAAACATGGATCTTCATTTGGTTGGCCCCCTCGAGAGCAAAAAAGAGGAATTGAAAATAGATTTTTTTTCATGTACTCAAGCACAATAGTCATTGCAGTTTAGCAGAAGGTCAGAAACAGCTGGAACATGCATATTTAGATGAAATAATGTCACGCAGACTCATGGACACATTATAATCCTCCACAGTCTGAGCCAGACCCTGAATAAATAGGGCTGTTTCCCAGATAAATGAAAAGATATCGCTGATTTGTTTTTCAGCTGAGCTCTGCTGAATCTTTGAGCGTGTTTTAAAGCTTACGGAGAGTGTTTGGACTGAACACCTTCGTTATTTAAAGAGAGCCGACGGTGAACTGTTGGACCTCCACGATGCTGCCAGATGTGGTTGCCAGTTCGGTGCGCGAATGATCTCACTTTACGATTGTGGATGGAATATTAACCGGTTTATAGAGTCCACTCTCCACCTACCAGGTGTTTGTTTTCTCGCCGCCGCAGACTTGAGCGGTTGAAAATATCCGGGGGGCTTTAAACTGACACCTGACCCTCCACCCACCCACCCCCCAGCCTGCACCCACCTATAGGGGCTTTACTGTGCTGCTGTGGATGGATGTGGTCCAGGATGGGGGCTCTGGCCGGCGAGGTAAGAGGAGACGGAGGGTTCGAGCTGTGCGTCGGGAACAAAGGCCCTTCACCTCAGCCCGGCGCGTCTGTCATCTCGCCATTGTGGCTCTCCTCCCCGGACCACACACAATAACACACCTGCACGTCACGCACACAAAACACACCTGTACGTGCATCCTCGCAGACGCACACAGGCTGAAACCGGGCGTTCGTAGGAATAAGCAGCGTGGGGATGGTGTTACAGCAGGGAAACGGGAGTAGCAGCCACGAAACAGGCCCTTGTTCAGTTACACGGACTTCACAGGGTTTCGGGCCTGTTGTGTGCGAAAGTGATAGTGATGTCGGTGGAAAAGAGGCGAGTCCCGAAAAGCTGCACATGAAGGCCGCTGGAGGAGGAAAAACACCCGCCGAGCCTTGTTAATTTATTTAGATCTACACAGCTCAGCTTACACACACAACTTCAGCTCCACACATATTTCTGCAGCTGTTTTCCTGCACACACACACACACACACACACTCACTAGCTGCCATTTACCACGTTTTAAGGCTGATAAAGGTCTCGGTTCCAGTCAGCGAGCACCCACTTTGTGTTTCTGTCTTTCTTTTAATGAAACGGGAGAAGCAGCGATTAATGAAAACCCGCTGAAGGAGTAATTTGACAGAATCCTTTTCTCTTTTCGAGGGGATTTGGTGGGTATTTCCTCTGAAACAACCACTTCACTGACACAGACAGACACTCTGAGTCTCCTCTTCCTCCGTCTCGCCGCCTAAGTGGGTCAAAAAAACATTCCTCACATCGAACACAGTCTCGTGTTTGTTTCCACATTGTTTTAAAGTCCACATTTTTGTGTGTCTGTGTGTGTGTTGTTTTGCGGTCCGGTCTTAATCCCAGCTGAGTGGAAGTTGGTTTTTCTTTTTTTTTTCTTTTCTCTTTGCTGTGTGAACCAGAGCATCCCTCCTTCTCCTCCCCTGAGAAGCTGCTCGAATCGTCTGAGGGCTTTCATTTCCTCTTTTTCCTTGACCTCCGATATTGCAGATTAACCCCGGCACAGACCTCCTGAACCAAAATATTCTTTGCAGTGTTGAAAACTTAGATCCACGCTAAAGTATTCTTCATCATGGTTTCAGCTTTGGGGTCAGTTTGAACCTAATTACAGCGTTACTCCTGTTTCAAAGCGCACACGCTGGGTTTTCTTACGTTTTAGCTTCATCGACAGACAGATTATCAGCTGGAATGGCCCCTCAAAGACTTTGAAAGTAATTACCACAAAGAAAAACTTCCCTGTGGTAATATTATAGCATTATAGAAATACTGTATGTTGCAGCAGTTAGATTCTCTGATAGTCTATCCTCCCCTTTGGCTAACCAAAAAAGCTCAGTGTAACACCAAACTGCATGTAGCATACGGCTCCAAAAAGTTTCCACTTTGATCTATCGTAAGTCGTATTTGAACAACAGTAACGAGGACATGCTTTGTGTCAGGACAATGCAAATCACCACAGACCTTCTACATCTTGTAAACAGCAGCTGTATGAAATTTCAGACCTGTAGGCCAAACTTTATGGGAAGGAATGGGAGGAAAATATGACCCAAAATTCTTCTAAAAGTCAAAATTAACTCATTGAAATCTCCTGTTATTGTCGGAAACAGTCAAAAGACAAAAAGGGCTGTTACTTGCTGTCATTTAGCAAATAGAAAAACAAGCAGGAAATAGATGGATTTTGGTCCAGATGTTCTGCAGCAGCCCAGTGGAGGATTCTCTGTAGTCGATTAAAACAGCTACAAGACGGGTTCAGTGTCACGATGAAGGTTGAATTTCCACTACCTGCGAACCCACGTGTTGTTTTTATTATTGTTTTTGGCTTTTACCTGCTCTATGAAGCATCAGCCTCTCTAAACGGTGCCTTATCACCAAAAAAACAAACCCTGTGACATTTCTGTTAATTTTGGATGCTGAGCTGTAACAAATGAAGCAGATTTACAGTTTTCACGTGACATGGGCGATCGGTTACGCTCTCCACAGCTGCCTCGGGGCGTCGGGGTCGTGAAATATGTCCCGACACATCAAGGACTGTGCAAACCTCCAACACAAGCAGCGATATATCTGCTATATCTCCTCCACAGTAATAAAACCACTGCTCCAAACCCAAGCACTGATTTAATACTGACCTGCCTTTGATTCTGTACATTGATGTTGTGTTTTGTTGTTGGTTCTACCTGCAGTTTCTTTCCTTGATTTTTTTTTTTTTCTTTCTAGTGATGAAATAATTATTATTCAAAGATGATTTTTAAAGCACTTTTTTGCTCACCGACTCTCACTTGTACATCTATATGAATATGTAAATGACTGAGATCATATTGGAAAACAAAAGCTTGTATTTTTGTTACGGCTCTGAAGTTTTGGGGGAAAATAAAGAAAGTGAAAACTGAGCTGGAGTGGTTATCTGTCATTAAACACCACATACGATGTATGAATATAACACATTCACACATATGAACAGATGCACAGAATGTAGAGCAAGAAATCAATATCCGCTATAAAGAATAATGTTAGCTTATAAAGTTAAACAAGCAGAATCAGTTTATGTTTCTGTTCTTATGCATTAGGACACAGTTGGTTTCACATTACAAGAGTTCCATCTGCTGGCTCGTCATAGTAAGCGCATTGAGTAAAATACAATTAATCCTGTTGCAAACATCCTTTATTGCATTTTCTGCAATTGAAAATTAATATTGGCTCTTCTTTCTCCCCATATAAGAGACATCCATCAGTTCAGTACAAGACAGTGTGCATAAAATGTCAATAAAGTGAAATAAAACTCAATTAATTCAGTTATTAATGACCAAAAACTAAATAATTGTCCTTGTACACTGTTTATTTTTTACATTTCTATATGACACAGTAAATGCATTCATTAATAATATGAAATATATCACAATTAATTCTGTTTTACATTAAAATATGAATTTACCACCAATATAAACATGCATGTTTGGTTATTGTTGCTCTGCTTTTTAGTTGTACACTACTGATGCCTAACATCAGTGTATTTGTACTTTACCTGCTACATAATGTACTTTTTACTCCATTCTATGTATCTCAAAGCTGTGTTTTTTTCTCAAGGTTGCACGTTTCTGCTGCTCTTTGCACGACTACGCCGTGCTCTGCTGCCCTCTGGTGGTGAAGCTACTTATCACTGCAGTCAGAGGGCTTTAAATAAAGTAAACTTTATTGTCCCCTGGAGGAAGCCTGTCTTGTACACAGTGCTACAGTCCACTGCTTTAAATAAACACACAGAGGAAGCATCATGAGCACACGAGAAGATGTCTGACTGAACAGAAAGACACTCTGAAGATTTTAAAGTTCTTAAATGCTTGTGTGTGTATTGCACGTTGCTCTGTTGCACAAATCTCCTTTAATTGTTCTAATCTTCAGGATTAAAGTTCATGTATAGGCACATGTTTTAATATAGTGCATAAACAGAGCAGACCATATTTTTCTTTACAGAAATTGGACATTTCCACTCTAATTAAAACAAAACAATTTAACAAATTGGTGCATAAAAATTCCACAAAAATGCACAAAATTAAGTGTTTGACGTCTTCCTGGAAGAGAATCCCCACACTGACGACTGCAAATGTATGAAAAAGGTAAAAAACATTTGCTGTACGCCCATAAACTAGCAGTAAAAATCTCCTTGCACATGAACACATCTGTAATAATAACTCCAGTAATTTAACATATAATGGGATGCACTCACAGGGAGAATTTAACGCACTGAAAAGTTTAAGTTTTCAGTCTTTTACTGCTACTCCAAGATCATATTTTTGTTCTTTTTTTGCACAGTGCAAACACAGATCAAGCTATTTAAATGTGGTTGATGGCAGAAGACATAAATAAGGAAAATATTTGCTTCTATGCAGAATTTTATTTTTATTTTTTCTATTTTATTTTTTTTGTCAGTCACTAATCTGGTGTGCCTCTGGTAGGTGTATTATTTATTTTTTGTTGTAATTTTTTTTGCTGCAAAGCCGGTCTAATGTTTATAGCACCACCTTCACAGTTCAGTATGTTAACAA